TGGGCGCACTCATGACGGCAGTGATGCTCCTGGCCAAAGTATTTATGTCTTTCTGTCAGGAGAACGATTCCTTGAAACACAAAATATATTGGTTCTGCAGACTCGCATCAAATCTGGCTACAATGGGGCTACGACGAGGTGTACTCCTCCCGACTCGCAAGAAGCTGGCCATGGATGTAGCTGCCAAACTCGGTGTCGCTCCCAGGCTTCGGGTCCTCCTTCATGAGCAGCCAGCGCAGGCGGGCATTGTTCATGATCGAGAATGTTTTAAAGCGGGAACGGAACGAGATAGTTACATCAGGTCCGTAGTCCTCCTGACCGTCCGCATCAATTGTGGGATATTCTTGGCTCCAGTCATGCGTGATGAGACACTGGCAGGAAATATTGGATCAGAAAAGCTCAAATGTTCAGCAAAAGTCCTACCTTGATTTTCCAGGTAGGCTTGATTGGGAGTAGCGTAGAGCCGGTAAGGACAGAGAGGAAGAGCTTGGGACGCAAAAGGGTGTCGGCAGGATCACTGTCCTCGTCCATCAGCGCATGAAATACTCGGTTGGGATCGGCAGGATTCCCAGGCTCGGAAAGACAGTGAGTGATGAACTGTGTGATGAGCACGACGATCTCGGTGTTCTCGCCCCATACGTCGTCGGCCGGGTTGGTCTGCGTAAAGTCGAGATGAGAAAGCATATCTGCAGGTCCGCTGATCTTGCGATCGTAGGAGGCAATAATGAGCTCCCGGCAGGGTGTCGCAAACCACTGAGAAATAATCAGCCGACACAATATGTCGCTAAACATATAGTCCATACCTCCAGAATATGATGCGGGCGCTCTTGACCACCAAATGCCTCCACACAGGCATCGAAGCCATCAGAAAGTGCGAGGAAGTCAGGGTGGTGCTCAATGTCAACAGTGCCGAGCGTCAGAAAGCTGATGATAGACAGGCAAACCCCATTGTGCTCCTGGCGAGAGTGGTGTGGGGCAATCATGCTCGGTTGTCATAGATCCGTCATCATGCATCAGTGTTGGCACTTTGTAAAGGTAAAACAAATCACTCACATCGACTTCTGGAATGTTCAACAAGTACTGATACTCAATGGAATCCTCTGCCTGTGAAGTATATACTGGATGATTCAACGGGACGCGCTCGATCCTTTTGACCAAGGAAAGTGAATCTGCCGAATAAAGTGCGCAAGAAATGCAAGATCAAACTTCTATGCCGTTTGGCGACCATTGAACAAGGTCGAAAGAAGAATAGGAGATGCAGGAAGTGGAGCACCAATGAAGAGAAAATGGAGAAGAAGGAGGAGTCCGGTTGCCTTCAGAGCACATGAACAGCGGGGAATAGGTGTGCGTGAAGGATGTAAGCGAAGGGTCATGTATGCCTCCCGCTCTGTCCAGTAATGAGGGCTCGTGCAACGACCTCGTTACGAGGGCCTTTCCCAACCCCCGGTCCGCTGGGGATGAATTAACACTGTTCTCTCACTCAGCAAGGAAAAACGACACATACATGGAAACATGGAGTCCGAATAGAGCGATTGGATCTCGGATGGTGCCGTCAACGGTTGGGCGTGGCGATGCAAAGTGCTCTTGAAGGAGTTACTTGAACTTGAGACCTGTAGGGCGACCAGAAAAAATCCAGAGAGCGACGGGCACCCTCATCGACGGATCGAGCGGTAATGACGATGTGATCGTCGTCATCGTGCATGTCTCGAGGTGAGAGAATGTGGTCTTGCCACGGAGAAAGGGAGTAGGCGCTGGCACCGGGCATGGACTGGAGTGTGAGATCCAAGGCTCCGCCTTCTCCAACGAATGAGCGAGGCTGGCGGTGACGTCAATTTGGTCTCCTAACATGTCATGAACGGTACCCCACCTTGCAGGATGTAACACCCAATTCCATCGCGGATGTGAGAAGTGGACCAGCAATAAACGGTGTGGTTGTCGACACCTTGACTGCGGTGGCTGTCGCTTCCTGTAGATATGATTATCAGCAATGTCGATACCTTGTTTGGAGGCTTACCTGCCGCCACTGCTGACGTCAAACAGATCGAGTCACAATCTAAGATTGTAGGATTAGAGCAGTATATAATACTCGCAAATGTAACTTGCTGTTGATACGGCATGCGGCGGAGCCAAATCGTCAGGCGAGGCAGCGAGATCGCGAGGAATGGGCTACCATCAAATGAATAAAGCAATCTAAAATGCGGTCAAAAGAAAACCGACAGATTCAACCTGGGCCTGCGCCTGCCACGGATCAGGGAAAACTCCATAAATTGTCGAAGCTGTGACATGCGATTGGTGTGGCATGTATGGGTTCCATTTCCAGACGCAAAGTTCGTGCGGGAGGGAGCGGCTACTGACACATCAGTGGAACGATCTGCAACATGGTGAATAAAACACACCCGTTCAATCAGCACCTCGACCTCTGGGAACTGTGATAATAGTGAGATTACGAACAGGGAAGTGTTTGGACATGGACCTCGTCATCATCGCTGTCCGACATAACATATGCATCGGGTGAAGGGATACGAGGGGACGGAGAGTGAGCAGAGCTTTCACGCAGCCCGCACAACGGTCCGCATTCCGGAGAAGGGTCGCTGCTAAGGGAGGAAAGAATCGGATGCAGAACTCTACGAGAAAAACAGTGGTGAATAAGCACATGCTCCGGAAGTCGGTCTGGTGGATTGAATAGACAGTCAATGGGTCCACGAAGGTTCCGGAATCTTGGTGCTTAAAAATAACCTCGTCAGTTCAATGTACACAAGGAAGACGAACAGCATACCGACGAAGATGAAAGGACCGTCCCCGAGATTATTTGGTGTGTGACTGAATGGTGTGCTGCGAATAGCCTGTAGGGTGAAGGTAAAGCGGGTAAAGGATTTTGGATCCTCAACCCAAGTACGACCTGTCGGTCTGAGGTGGGTTGAGATGTGAATCAATGTTCTGTGCAAAACAAACAGAGAACTCACCGGCCTCGGGGGCCCAGGAGGCCCCAAGACAGTGTGTTTGGGGTTTTGATAGCGGCAGGAGGATCCGGGGAAGTCGCAAAGTCGAGGTTCTTCATCTGGCAATGATTTTGGAAGGCGGTGTCGACGGCGTCAAAGATTGGACCGGTGATGTCGACGTCCACGGTGAATACGAGATTCGCACGGTCAAGGGCATTCTGGACTTTCTCAAGGTCTCCACTGGTCTTCCAGAAATAACGGGGGGAAAGATCGACTGTGTCATTGTAATCAGAGGTATAAAGCTGAAAAAAATTGGTTGACAGATGTAGAGCAGGGTGAAGTTGAAACACACCACTTTGGGTAATATCCCAACCGTAAGCTTGACGGATGTGACTACAGGGACTGGGCTGAAGTCGGCTAGGGAGCCCAGTGGCGCAACTGGCGTGGAGAACGAACGGGGAGGACCAGAAGTGCGTTTTTTAGGACTAGTCAGAGCTGTCGGGGCTGTTGAGCTTCCAGGTTGGGTGGGGTGAAATGATCGTTGAATAGACGCCCGGCGGCTTTGTTGGACACCGGCAGCAACAGAAGAGGACGATGCGGCCGATTGGCGGTGATTCTGAACAGAGATGGTCGACGGTCTAGAGATATTACTGAAAGCCACCACGGGCCGATGCTGAACAAGCGGAGGTGAGGTCATAGTGGAGGTTGCCGACAAGGCAGCGGACGGAGGCGTGAAAGACGCCAGTGGTGTTTCCGAGCTGAAGAAGGAAAGATCAGATTTTTAATGAGCATTTAGACAGAATCAACCTGGTGTTTGGAGTTGCAGCCATCAGAGCAGCATGGGCCGACCAGGTAAGACCACAGACACAGGACATGCGCATATTCCAGACCGGTTCTTGCTGTAAGCCATGTGGAAATTGATTCGACTTGAATGTGTGCGACAGAATAGACCCACCGAGAAGAAGGAAACACAACGTCCATCGATAGATCTGCCTCGGGCGAATGATCTATTTTGGGTTGAGACGACATCGGGACCTGGAGTATGAGTGACCAATGGATGGTCACAAATAAAAAAGAGCACTTCAGCACTGGTAAAGTCCTTGATAGTGTGAGCTCACTCGCTGATTTGTTCAAAACCGAGTTCACTCACCGAATATTTGGGCGATCCGTCGGGGTTCTCGGAGACAAAGCCATTACAGGCCTGGGGGCAATTGGGAAGAGCAGCACATGCGCCACGAGGCCCGAGCTGCAGATTCAGATGCATAGCGGGGTGGGGAGTGATAAGACTCACCCTCAGAGGTCTCCGGTACTTGAAGGCATCATGTTCGAGTCGCAGTTGAGTGATTGCCGTGTGATCACTGATTGTGCTGATTGTTGCTTGATCGGGCAGGGCGGGGTAGCAAGGATGGGCAATGACCATCAGTGACCGAAAAAAAACAACAGCAACTGAAACTTTTATTTCCCAATTTCGTGGCCATCCTGCAACAAGAAAATCACAGCTTATCATTAGGATTGATGGTGGCAGTGTTAGAAATTGACTAGGATTGAGGAGGAACGGTGATGACTCCGCCGGATCGGCTAGGATGGATCAGGACAGTTCGAGTTCAGTTAGGATAGTGAATGACTATCAAATTGTATTATTTTTGTCCGATGTCGGCCTTCATAGTAGAGGCTCTACATAAGTAGAGCTATACAGTACATGTAACTGCTTTTTTCTTTCAAAGTTGACCAGAGGAGGCCGACGATCGGACCTCGAGGCGAATACCCTAGGCCCTGAAAAAACTCTGGTATTCTAAGTTCATCGTTCTCGAGATGGATTGCATGCATCGATCTCCATCACCGATCTTGGTTTAGTGCAGTCAAAACGCAACCATGCGATCGAACTTTTATCTAGCCAACCCTAAGTCCAACCATATATATGTTGGCACTTTACTTGGCTTCAGACTCTCTGGTGCCTCTGATCGGAACCATTTCGGCCCTTTGCGCTCGGACCTTCGTTCGTTCTGATATTGTTTTCTCCCTCGGCGACCCTGGCCCTTTCCTGCGCCACCACAAATCGTAGGGCTCTTGGCGCAGCTGGTAGCGCGTTCGCTTCGCATAGGTAGTTGAAAGGCAATGTGTGCGAAAGGTCGTTGGTTCGATTCCTACAGTGTCCAATTTTTAGGTTGGGCTCGCAGCGTTTCTGACTTTTTGAACGTTCTACACGACTCAGATGGTCCGCGACAAGCCGTTTCGTCTGGGGAACCGAAAATCTCACATGTAGAGAGCAACGGAGCTGAAGTTTGGCGCCGCGGATCTATTGTTACAGTGTCTTCAAACTGAACAAATGGCCGCAGTGTGAACCGAAAACAAGTGAATTCATGCTTGGATAATACGGTCCCGGAACGCTGTGCTATTCAAGTTTCAGATATCAGTTTCGTTGGAACTTGGCTGTCTGTTTACTTATACAGGCCATATACTCAGCGCTTGTTGCCCTGGCAATTATTTGCGCAGCGGTGTCGCGTGCGCGCCTCATTTTCCATGGGGACGATTGAACGGGCGCCGCGTCTCACCCTTCCTACTCCCGCGCTACTTCGTCCAGTTCAACGGCTTCCAATAGCAAGTTGAACATGAAAAGATGGCATCAAGATCGCCGGTCACGCTTGTGACTTTCCGTGCAGGTCTCCACTCGCCATGTTGGCAATTTACGCAGTCTTGGGCTGGCTCTCTTTCGCGGCTGGTTCTTCCGTGTCGAACCATACCATCGACGACACAAGCCCCATAGTGCAATACAGCCACATCGGACCCAATGGCGCCTTGGGAATATGGGTCAGCTGTCCCTCGGACGACCCAGTTGGCGCCGGCGTCTCCTGCCGCGTCGCTGGTCAGAACGTCCCCGTGTTCGACTTTACCAAACTCAAGAACGGCACCATGACCGTTTTCTGGGGCACGATCACCATCCCGTTCACCGGTGCGCCCTTCTATTCCCCCGTCTCGGAACAACGCGCTTACTTATCGCGCAGGCCACTCGGTCTACGTGTTTTTCGCCAACCAGGACGACGTCAACTGCGCTATATCGCTGGACGGTGTTAGTGTCAGTCAATACAAGGCCACGGGCGGGGCATCCGGCGCCGAGTCGCAGAGTGTCCTGGGGTATCAGAACACCACGCTCCAGGACGTGGCACACACACTCACGATCACGACCAACAACAACGCGGCGTCGGACGACAGCGTGATCGATTTCGATGCGATTTTATACTCGTGCGTTGCATGACCTTTCTTTCGCTCGTCCGGCTGATTTATTCGTGTAGTACCGGTGGGACCGTCCCTGCGGTTTCGTCCAGCGGTTCCTCTACCCCAGCCGCCGCGAGCTCCTCCACAGGTGGCACAACGGGCGGGTCCCTACCCACAGCCGCCCCCGCCCTCACGCCCGCGCGACACACCAAATCCCCTGTCGGCCCCGCCGTCGGGGGCGTCATCGGCGGCCTCCTCTTCCTCGCCGCGCTGCTCTTCCTCATCCACCGCGCCATGCAACAGCGCAGACGCGCAGCCGCCGCCGCGGCAGCAGCCGTCCTGCCTGTGTCGCCCATAACCCCCTTCGTCCTCCCCGTCGTGGAGCCAGCGTACCCCAGCGACAAGACGCCCTTCCCCCCGCCCCACTCCGAACTCACGACGTCGGATATCGCCGGCACCACCACCAGCCCCACGTATACCAGCCCCACCGGCGCCGCCGCTCCCACCAACACCCGCAGCGACACCGACCCCACCGCCGACTCCCAACACCTCGCGAGCCGGCTCGATTTCATCGAGGCGCGTTTCCGGCAGCTCGAGCAGCTCGCGCTTTCGTCGAACCCGAACTCGAACTCGAATTCGAGCTCAACCGCCCACCTGAACCCGAACGGAGGTGAGGAGGCGACGTCCCCCCGGCCACCGTCGTATTCCGCATGACGATGATGAGTGTCTGCGGAAATTCACATGCGGGTTGGGTCTGCGGAGCGGCTGAATACATGGTCCCTCGTAGAGGTTGGCCCGTCGCCGCTGATGACCACGCATAGGCGAGCACTCGGCCCTTCGTGCAGGATTTCCCTGGAACGGGTCTGATACGAACCGACTACTAGCATAACGCGACGTAGGGAGAGCGGCCGGAACGTAGGATACAGCGGTATTAAATTATTGATTAATTTGGCAGGCTATTCGATTGCGATCCCTCTGACCGACATGGTGTCTTGTCCACGCTCGGGATCGTCTTCAACTTTCTGAAATTTTACATTGATCTTGGCCCGAAACTGCTCAATTGTAACCTGTTCCGGAATTCCTGGTTGATGCACATATGTAGGCGGCGCATACCTGGCCAGAAATAACGCGATCTCGACCACGAGTATGTATTTCGATACCGCCGAGGTTGTAAGCATCTTTACTCAGAACTGTCTTACGCCGCCGAGAATTGAGATCTTACCAATCAAGTGGAACGAACTCAAGGTTTTCGTTGGGCTTCGTTCAGTGAGTTACCTCGCTGCAGGAGGAGTTGATACATCTTCTACATCTCTCCATGTCACATTTTTTGAAGAGACCACAAATGTACAACATTTATGCCGATTAATGGCGTCACCGGCGCCTGATGATCTCTTGTTGAGTTGGTGAGATCAGAGCCCGCCGAGGTTCTCACTCGCATCCAGCAATCTCCATAATCAATGACCGGAAGGCAGTAAGCAGAATTGACCTGCATCGACTTCCTTGGCGCTGACACTCGTCGATCCCTCTTCTTTCAAAGCAAGCGCGTCGATGGATATAAATTCTGACGCAGACCGAAAGGTACACCATTTCCTTCCCTCGAGATGCTTCTCCGTTCTTCTCTCTCCCTTCTCGGGCTGTCTCTCCTCTCCACCGTTCTGGGAAAAACCGGGCCACTCGTCACTACGTCCTCGGGCTCCTACCTCGGCGTGCACGACGCGCAAAACGAGGTCGAGGTATTCAAGGGCATCCGTTTCGCGTCCCGTCCCGCTCGTTTCACACCGGCTACACCTGTCTCGAACCCACCAGGCGGTACGCAAAGCGCCGCCGCGTTCGGTGCAGACTGTCCCCAGCTGCCCACTCTCCTCGGAGCCGCGGGCGTCCCAGCCGGTCCGCCGTTGAGAGGCGCGAACCAAAGCGAAGATTGCCTATTTGTCAACGTGGGTGCTCTTCCGGCTGCTGCAGCCTACGCCGCATCTGATCTGAAATTCCGCTTCAGGTCTGGCGGCCTGAAGGCACGTCTGCGAAGGACAGGCTGCCGGTTCTGGTTCACATCTATGTGCGCGCATCCGTTTATCAAATTTTGGATCTGCGGCTCTTTCTGATGAAGTTTCAGGGCGGTGGCTACTTCGCTGGTGCGGGATCCGAGTGGGATGGTACAAGTCTTGTACGCCGGAGTGTTGCGACCGATAAGCTAATCATCTGGATAACATTCAACTATCGCATTGGAGTCCTTGGATTCGTGAGTCCCACTTCGACTGCGTTACTCAGACGATAACTGATTTATGTTTATTCAGCTCGGCAGCGCACAGGTACCGCCTGAGGCTCTGAACGTTGGACTCCAAGATCAGCGGGATGCCCTTCGATGGATCCAAGACAACGCCCACGCGTTCGGGGGCGATGGGTCGCGCATCACCATCTCGGGTGAATCTGCCGGTATGTTCAAGTTCTCGTCTCACGCCTTCCCGTGTTCACAGTTCTCTGCAGGTAGAAGCAGCGTCCACATGCACTACCTCTACCCCGACACCCGGCGGACCTTCCGCGCGGGAATATCCAGCTCTGGTACCGCGCTCGTCCTCAACACCCCCGCGTGCGAGTGGCACGATCGCCCAGGCGGCGCGTACGATATCTTGGGGAACGTGACGGGGTGTGGCACCGAGGCGGGATCGTTCGCGTGTCTGAGAGACCTGCCGTTTGATGTACGTTGATTGAAAAGCCTGCGCATCGAGGCGGTCCTTATTCTAATCTAACACGGACTGCGTATGACAGACATTTTGGCCCTTGGCACTGTCGACATACAGCCCGCCCGGGGGTGGGTTTCCGCCGTGGGGAGTGACTTGCAAAGGTCCTAAAGGCTCCTTGATCGACGAGTACCCCGTCAAGAAGGTCATCCACGGCGACTTTCTGCACGCGCCAATTATTACTGGTACAAACCGGAATGAAGGCAATTAGTACGTTCTTCTCTCTACTGCAATATCTTTTCAACCTGCTCAACCATTTGTTTTCAGTTTGATTGGCACGACATTCATCGATATCACGCCTCAACCGCCCATTGACCTTGAAAACTCCCTTCTAAGCGGCTTCATCGCAGGTCAGGCAACTAATAGCGAAACTGTGTCTCAAGACACTCTCGCCAAACTCCTCGCCCTCTACGCCCACCCGACGGACAACTTGTCGAATAGTTCGCTGTCCAATCGCGCTTCGCAATTCGAGACAGATTACGCGATGTTGGCTCCCCAGCGGCTGTTCCTCAAGACCGCATCGGCCGCGCACCGGAAGCAAGATGTGTGGGCATATTCGTTCGAGCAGCATCTTCCCGGCGCGCCAGATTTCTTCGGGGGTGAGCATCTCGACTTCAATTGTCTTCCTTTCCCCGCATTGATTTCATAATTCATGAACAGCATTCCACACGTCCGATCTCTACTACCTCGATATCGGGTTCCCCCCAGTCACCTCTCCATCACTGCAATCACAGATGCAAGATTTCTACATCTCTTTCGTGAATGACCTCAATCCCGGAATGTTCTGGCCGAAGTATGACGAGAAGTCGCCCGTTGCGCTGCGGCTCCAGGAGGGGAACGTTGGCCCCATTGCGGACACGCTCCGGCGAGAGCAGACGGATTTCCTCAATCAGGTTGATGTGCTGGAGGAATTCGGGCGCTTTGGTTGAGATCCGGTGTTTCAGTGACAGCCCTCTTCTTCTTTTACTTAATACGTACCTTACTTTCGCAGTGCTGTCTGGAATTTGCCGATATTAACTGCTCGTCCACAGTAAACAAGTAGCAAAAATTTAACCGCAAGCCAACGCTGTCACATACCACGATGTTACAGATTTTCAGAGCTTTCAAGAGAGCAGATGACGAGAGGGCCGCCAAGCCAGTAGTAGTACAAAACCAGAGAACGAAACAGTGGTTTCGGCGGCAATGGCGGTCAGAGCAAAGTCTGA